GGGGGGGGGGGGGGAAAGACAGACTCAATTGGTATTCAGCCAGTCAGTTTATAACAGGGAAAAATTAACATTAGTTGTGTGATCAAATCTTTTACTAGTCAGAGGAAAACCTAGATAGCTAACCTGTTTCATCCATCGGGAAGCTGATCACCAACATGAGGTGTATTATTTTGTGCTCCAAAAAGATAATGTATTTATTTCAAGAAATTCTTCCTTTGTACTAATTCAAAAAGTGATTTAATACATATTAAATAATTATTGAAATTGCTTCCTGTTATTTAGTACTATGAAGCAGAACAATTTATTTTTGAGCAATTTTTCCCCAGCAACACCAAAAGCATTCTTATAAAGAATAGTAACTGAACAGTTCTTTGTACCTCCTCATACCGAACCAAATCGTATTAAAACCGGCTTGAAGGAGGAAGTAACAGCTGAGATTAAATGCAAAATGAACTATATAATGACAAAGCAATAATAATGGCATACTTTTCCCATGCATCTGACAATTAGCACATTGATGTGGTTCACCTCATTACAGAAAGTACAATAAAGGGTTTGAGTTTTAAGGACTTACGAAGATGTTTTGCTATCTCGAGACCATTTTTTAATTTGGGAGAGTTTATTGATTAGAAATATTCCTTTTCCTTGAGCCTTGCCACAAGGTTTCATAATCCAAGTACTAGAGGGGTTTTTTCTGAATTCTTCAACAAAGAGATTATAATCGGCAGGAAGCATAAAAGTAACAGGAACAAAATCTGAGTTAAGGGAAAAAAAAGTGCACAATTATGGACACTATATCTGATAAGGCTATTGACACATAAAGATTAAAAAAAATTCAGTCTTTTCAGTTTTCCAGCCTGGCATGACCCACCTTCATTAAGACTTGTGTTGCTTTTTATCTCATTTAAATTCTAGTTTTTCCTTTTTACTTAAATAAACAAAATATCGCATGCTGCTAACTTCAGATTAATAGATTTTAATTCACATGAATCAATTTTCTTTTTCTGTTTACATGCTGTGAAATTAGAGTATTATATACCATTCCAACCTAATCAAACTTTCTCAACTTCCTACATCAGCTTTCACCATTCCACCAACCACCTTATCCGCTGTGCGTGCAGACATCTGAATCTTGGTGTTGCTTCCCCTTTGGATGCGATCATTTTTATTTCCATGTAACCCCTGCTAGCCGTTCTTATTTGCTCCCACAATCAGTATTAGCATGCCTACATAAGTCTGAAGAAAAGCATTTCTCCCTTTTTGCTATCAGAGTACCTTCACGTCCCTCCTCACAGAACTGCTCCCTCCCCACACAGATGAACAGCACTTTCATTTCACTTTCCCAAGATGTACACCAGCTCAAGACATCCCCACCTCTGTTTCACTCCAGTGCTTCTGATCTCCAAAACAACTTTGCTCTCCTCAGTCCTGGTTTGGTTTTGGGGGTTTTTTGGTTGGTTTGGGCTTTGGGGTTTTTTTAGTTTTATTTTCTAGCAGTCGTTACTTGTTCTCCAACTTCCCCCAGATTTCTCCTCTGAAAAGTTTGTTCATTCAGTCCTGCCCAGAGCATTTTTGTAAAAGTTCATTTTAGTTTTTGCTCCAGTATAAGATGTTCAGATGTTTTTCATTTTGAATTAAAGAAACTCCAACCCTGTCTCTTATGAAGTTCCAGAGCAGCCCTTTTGTTTCACCACTAATCTTACTGCAAACTACCTTAATCCCACTATTTTCCCTCTTCAAAATAATTTAAAACAAAACCAACAAAAACCCAACCAACCAACCCCTTCCCTGGACTCCCCTGCAACCACAAAAAGCTTGGTTACAAATCTATTTCTGTACCCTTACATTCAAAAATAGTAATTTCATTATCACTTCATCCAGTGTTGCTCCAGCTAACACTGCAGTTAAATTCAGCCTTCTTTAAGGACATTACTACTTACAAAATAAGTCTAAAGACAACTCCTGTGCACACAAACTGGATTTGTTCTCCTCCTTGAATACTGCTGAATACTAGCAAGTACACGTGGAGGATTCGGGCCTTAGTCTGTGGTAATACGACAGGGAAACAGAAATGTTCAGTCTTTTATTCCCACTTTGTCTCCAATTTCAGCAAAGATCCTGAACGAGTGGCATGCCCTCTATTCCTCTCCATTTGTAAAATATTAGCCATTATCCTTCAAAGCAAGATTTGTGAAAAGCTTTGAAAATATATTATTGCATATGAAATATTCACTGCTACTGTTTTTATCACATTTCCTACTCTTACATTTCCTTATGTTCTAGTGGCAGATTTGAGAGGAGGGAAAAGGAGAAGACAGAGAGAGAAAGCTGGCAGGTTTGCAGAATGCAGCAAACAATTTTAGGATAAAGTGCACTTTCTTTAATTGATGGGACAGAGCATTTCAAGATAGTCACCCTGATGTTCTAACACTTCAGAGTTCAGTGCTTTAGGCACAGAAAAGCTCACTCAGTGCCAGGTTACTGACTACGCAGGAAAACAGATTAATGCCGATAACGAGAACCACATACCCAAATAAATATATTTCCCATTTTCATCCTTCTCTGCAAGAGGACTTCCTTCTTTCTCAAGTTCTTTCCTATATCGCTTGATATTCTTTACCATCAAATCTTTTCTGGTCAGTTCATAGTGGTTTGGGAAATGATTGACAATTTGGTCATCTGAGAGGCGGTAACCAGTTTCCACACTGAAAACATTTCTGATTGTTTGTACACTCATCCTGAAAACAAAGAGAGATACCAAATAAGGAGGACAAAGCCAAAATTTTTTTTCTCCATCCACTTAATCTTTTCTCCTTCTTATTTCTCTTTATAGTATAATGCTTTGCTGCAGTGACAATCCCACATACCCTGAACTTCTATTAGCAAAACCAATTAAGTGCTGCCAGAGGCTTAACCGCTCCCTCTACTACCACCAAAACTGGAACAGAAAGTGAAGAAAGGAAGGTGACAGCTTGGCCCTACTGGACTCTGGCTTGTTGACTGTCAGGTCACCCTCCAGTGGGGCCTAAAAATGACTGATGCACACCCAAATGCTATAGAAGCATCTTCCTAAACCTGTTCCTTCACCCTCTGAGGAAACTCAGCTTTCCTCTTAAAAAAAAGCCACAAAACCAACCTCCTACTGACTACTTTGCTATTCAGACTGTAAAGGACTTCAAGCACCTGAATTGAAAACAGTGATTCAAAGATCTTGCTAAAAACGCCCGTAACGGCCGGATCAGAGGGCTGCAGTGACCAAGTCATCATATCAGTTATCTGCCCCATCCTTCACAGAACAGCAGGGACATAGATATGAAGGATTTTCTGTATTAGATGTCTCACACTGGAAATTTAAGAATATTTCCTGAATGCCATCAATCTGCTACATTATCGTTTCAGGAAGGAAAGAAAAACCCCACAATGCAAAACAAAACAACCAGTCACACAACAGGTTCCCTGAGTGCCCTGTTCCCCCACTCCCCCTAACCACATTCCAGAAGCATGAGCAGATTACTGGATTCCTACCCATTTCAGTCAGTGGTTCACAAAGGGTACATTTGGCAGCACAAACCGCCATTCTGTCCTATTTGAAATGGACAATATAAATTGTTTGGTTTAACTTAAAGAGTATTGTTTCTGACAATTAATAGAGTGCTGCATTCTAGGACAGCATTTCAGTCTTATATTAGACAAATGCCAAATGAGAAGGCAGGTTATTTACTCTCCTCCTTTCACCATTATCTTGATTCAATTTCACATTCACTCTCAGTATTGGAATGTTGAATACTTAGTCTGCATATAAATCATTATCATGAAGGAGATGGGAAGCGCAGTTCTCAAGGTCTTTATTACAGGACCTTGGGCTCCAGTAACAGGGCAAACCTCCCCAATGCTGAAAAAATAATATTTTATCATATATTGGAACTGTATACTCTTGGATTATTTTGCTTACGTTGTGTTAGAAAATTCTGGGAGAAGATACACCCAAAGATTCCCCTCAGGCCACAGATCCCCTCCAACAATACTCCATAAAAAAAAAATAATCATCAAATAAAATCAGGTGTCACATTTCAAAACAAAACCCACTGAGCACAGCCTTTCCCCCGGCTTTTGACAACTGCTGTGCCCAGGAGTGATCGATAACTTGTTAGGTCACTGACTTTCCACCCCCTGACAAAGCCTCTGGCAAACTGCAAAGACATGCGAGATCGGCAGCAGGGGAAGGGACCCAGGCAGGTGGGACCCTGCACCCTGTGGAACCCCGAGGGCGTCAGCAGGCCTGCACAGACACGGGCACCTACCCGTGCAAATCTGAACAGAAGAGCAGCAGTAGCCTAAGAAATTACAGAAGCAACGAAACGCTGGGGGAGCACTGCAGTAAATCCATTATCATGTCGGCATCTTTCATTTTTCAATATGCATTTTGTTGTATTACTATAGGAGAATCGCAGTAAATCAGTTATAATTGCTGCATCTTTCATTTTTCAATGTGAATTCTGTTGAATTATTAATGGTTTTAACATATTAAAATGCATCACAAACTCAGAAAATGGTATTTTTAACGTACTTACCAATAAAAATTCCAGTCTTCATTTTCTGCCACCTGAATCCAGCCTCTTTTTTCAAAGTTGTTTATTAGAACAGATTTTTCTATGTCAGTTACCCACTTTACTTTTCCTGCCATTATCCTAAAGCAGAATCAACCTGTTAGTAAAGTTTAAAGATGAGAAGTTGAAAAAAAGAGGAAAATACAAACCAGGAAAGTCCAAGTGGAAGAAAGGCAACATCTAGGAAGCACTTTAAGTAAGAGAGAAGTAAATTAATTTTAAAAATCAAGGAAAATAATACCTTAGGTTCAGACTGAGACCCTGCGTTTGTCACCTGGGGCCTCTCACACCCCCAGGCAGCCCCGCTTTAGGAGCAGGCACACAACTCACGCCTCCCCCTGAGCACACCAGTGACAAGTCACCATCGCACACGCAGCAGGTAACCTTCACACGACCGAGTGCAGAGCACAGACGCATTATTATCTCTAACCAGGACTTACATGCACACGCTTGTGTGCTCTGTTTCCAAGTAGGAGGGTTCCTATGGATCACTTATTGACTGCAGAAGAGAAGGATGCCGAGAAGTCCCTCACGTGCTCTGTCACGGTTTGCCGCACCCCGAGGGAGGGAGCCACGTGCCGTCACCAGCGTCGCGATGTCCCCTCTGTACTCCACGATGTCCCCTCTGTACTCCACGCAGCCACCGCTGCGCCTTCGCTCTAGCTGGGGGGATATGGATAGGGTGCTGCCATTAGACCCTTGACAGCAGGGCTTCCCCAAAGCTCAGGCTCGTAGCACAGCGCTGATACGCTGCACTGCGGTTCATGACACCTAGGGGTCACCTTCTGCCTGGGACCTGCCGGGTCCTTTCTGTCAAATCAGGCCACGGCTGGGGCTGGCGGTGGCCTCGGGAGGATGCCCAGCACCCAGCTCAGGGTCAGCTTGAGGCCAGACCAGGCTGTGCAGAGCTTTATCCGACCACCTTCTGAAAACCTCCACAGACAGAGACACACAGCTCTCTGCACAGAGACTGCCCTCACGGGGAACAGATTTTTTTTCCCCATCTATTTTTCCATATATTCTGAACCCCTCTCAGCCTATGCCTGTTGTCTCTAATCTGCCCTCACCATGCTAAAGAGCCTGGGTCTGTCTTTTTGATAACCTCCTTGTAGGTATAGGCAGGCTGCTACTAGGTGACGCCAGAGCCACCTCCTGTGAAACACAGTCCCAGCTTCCCACCAGCCCCCTGACCACCCTGGTAACCCTCCACTCAACTCCCTCCCTTTACTGATGTCTGCCTTGTTCTCAGGGGCTCAAGTTGCTTTGGTCAATCCTCTGACATGCTGCGTTCCATCCTTACCCGTCTTGTTTGAGAAAGACAGCCAGGTCTGGCAAGGTGGGAATGCACAACAAAGTGAGTTTGGAGTGAGGAGGAGCCCGGCGCCCACCGCTGCCCCTCTCCGAAGCGTGGGCTGAGGCTCTCTGGGGGCAGCGGGCCCTCTCACCCTGGGCACGCCCCGTTACAAGGGCTGTTCGGAGATATCCCCTTCCCACGGCGCCTTGTACCCCACGTTCACGTCCCACCAGTGAAGGTGGGGGCAGACATGAACTGGAGCACGCTGGCCTTTGTGCATCCATGCTCTAGAGCCAAAAGCCTATGGCCCAGTCGGTGTGGACAGAACACTGCACTGCATACAACAAACAACAGATCTATCCTGTCTCTGAGCAAGTGATGAAGCTCAGCCTCCCAGGGCCTCGGCCTGATTAATACACAACTATTAGGCAAGCTAACATACCTTCATGGGCAAATAATAACGGATAAAGTCAAGGGTAGTCAGCTCTCATAAGCAGTTCCAGTGTTGCTGTATAGTCTTGCTGCCATTCAATCCACAAATCAGTTTTACAATTGCAACCTAGTGAATTTTCATGGCCAGGTTTCACAGAAACCAACTGCAGAGAAGTGCTAATTCAGAAGAAAATCTCTTTGAGCCGAAAGCGGATTCTTTGGCACACACCTCCCCCAGGAACAAAAACCACTATGCAAGGGAGTGGGAGAGAGCGGAGTTACACACATGTAACACCATCTACTGCTCCCTCTACGTGCAGTTTTCCATTGAAAAGTCAATTAAAACTTCACCTTTACTACTGCAGCACTGTAATCAATGTAAGAACGCAGTAAATGCAGTTAATACAATTTCTGCAACTAAGATATTGGGCTGGAATTCAAGGGGCCTTCAGTTTCCAGGACTAGCCATGGAGATGTACATCTGCCAGCAAGCCAACACCCCCATGGTTTCTCTCTTCCTGGGAGGCACAGCTCATCACCTAGAGCCCCCACCTCTTCCTTCCTAGACTATTTACACTGCCAAATTCCACAAGGCAGAAATGTTTACTATTAGACTTCCATCTGAAAGAGTTTTAGACACACTTATTTATATTCACGTTGGTAAAACATGTTGAAATCAAGCTTAGCTAGACAAATAGAAAAGAGCATATGAAGGCTCAGGGTCTGTCTTTTAGTGTGTGCTTATACCACACCTAGTTCTACAGGTCATGATCTTTCTCTGGGCCTTGCAGATACTACCAAAACAAAAATAAATGAAACAAAGGGATTCATTTATTTGTACTGAAGTATGTACGATTCACAACCAGTGACTCACTAGTATCACACACCATCTTGTGGTTTTAAAAGTTCAGGGATTAGTCAGCTTGGAACTCAATTGTCCCCTCAAAAGGAAATGTGATAAATGCTACAACAACATTCACCAAACACAACATAATATTTTCAAAAGGCATTAAAACGTGTCCTCCTCATCTCCAAGCTACCCCATGAGGTCTACCAGCACCCAAACCCAAGGCTACACCTGTTTCTCTGTTAGCTGAGTCCTCCATCTGCCTTCCTACTTCCCAAGTGTGTCCCACTCCAGCACCCCTCATACATGAACTGCAACCCCCCTCAGGGCTTCCTCCTCCAGAAACGCTGCATCAGACAAATGCAGGCACCTGCACCCCATCCTTATAGAAGCATGTAGCTGGTGCCCGGTGAATATTAAGAGACCAGAAGCTGGGCTGCTTTGTCAACGCTTCTGATGCTGCAAACTCATTTCTACCCTGGGATACAACAGCTGCCACAGCATCCTTTCTACAGGATCATTTATGAAGAGATTTCGACACACGCTACACATCATATGGCAAGGAACCCTGAAGGATTACATGCACTCATTCAGCAAGTGGATTTTGTGGTGGCGAGTGGGACTGCTCTGTGGCTCCTGCTGCCTTATTCCCAGAGACCGCACTGTGTGGCTGCAGGAGCCAGAGACAACTCAGCAGAAGACTCACCCACAGGAATGAGTTAAAACTAAGCCAAAGCTAAAAACTGAAGATAACTTCTACCACAAATAAAAGACAAATTACAACTTTTTCCTGTCTTAGGAACTTTAGGCGTTATAGATCCATCCTGTTACAGAAGGATTGAAAGGACAGCAATACAACAGCAAACTGAAAATTACTCCTTGGTTTATGCCGTTTGATCATCTCAGATGATGCTTAACTGGCCTGCAAATAATATCTTCTGATTTTGTGTAATTTGATTACTGAAACCCACAAACAAGGAGTCACAAATAACAATTTATGTTAAGTTGTACCAAAATGTTTCTTATTTTCAATAATACAATTTTAAGACTACATACTTTTCTACAGGAATTCTCTAATCTGCAACTAGGTATTGTAGACAACCTGATGAGATGGCATGAGATAGCCACGCATTCAATCTTGTGGTCAGCTGGGATCCTTTGCTTCAGTAAACATCAAAAGAAGAGCTGTAGAGCGCAGCCCTAGCCTGCATATAGCAGGGTAACAGGACAGCAAATCCAATCCTCAGAGCATCAGACCTCCTGCTCAGGAGACAAGAGTTACAAACTACAGGCCCAGCAGGCCTGACACTTCCCCATACCCCAAACACACGAGGCAACGGCGAGATCCCAAAGCATCCCGGTTGTCCTTACCGCCACGACGGAAGCTACTCACACTGACCGCGGGCCATCTTCTCACGCTGCAAAATACACCCAGGTGGTGCTGGTGTCTGTGCGCCTGACCTAAACACTCTGTTTGCTAACAGTTGAAAACGTAGTTGTGGTTCAATATTGTTTATTACTGGAAAATCCAGTTTGTCTGAGCGGTTGTGCCGTCAGAGGAGACGGGGAGGGCCGGCCACAGCAAACCCTGAAATGCTCGGGAGGAAAAGGAGACGAAGCCCGGAAGAGCTGCCCGGGGAGCAGCAGATCCCCAAACGCCCCAGAAGCGGCCGGGCTCCGGCCTGCACCAACGCTTCAGCCCGCGCCATGTCGCGACAGCCGCGCGAAGAGCCTGACCGACGCCGGCTGGCTTTGCCCCCGGCCCTCCCGGGCACCCTCCGAGAGCGGGCCCGCAAGGGGAACCTGGGCGAGACGATCACTTCTGCCCTCCCCTCCCAGGAAGGGTCGCGATGCCGCAGGGATCTCCAGCTGTCGCGACAGCCGCGGGGAAGAGGGGGAGGCCCAGCGCCTCCCCCGGCGGCGGGCGGTTGCAGGT